GGCGTGAACGTACACAAAACCCGGAGCGATTCGATCAGAAGGAGAAAGCCTCGGGATAAGCAGCTGCGTTCCGATTACGTAAGTTAGGCACGCGCTATTATCATGTCACGCCAGTTTTACATCGCGTTGCGTTTATTAACCCTGGAATCGTAATGTTTCCGGAAGTATCGCTGATATGAATAACAAATTTTTCGCATGCTCGAAATATTGCGGTTAAATACCTCTCTTTTCATTTCTTCTCTTACGATCGACACTGTGCAGCACTCTCTTTGCTTTTTTAAAATTCGTAACAAATAAGAAAAATGTTTCCAATTTTACAATATAAAAAAAGGAAATATTTGCATGGCAATAAAGAACGCATCGACAAAGAAAAAAAATTAATATCAATTTTTCATATTTCTTTTCAATTTTTTTCCTAAATTTAAACATTGCATTAAAAATGGTCACATTATATTAAATTTTTTTTTTAAATCACATGCACATTTAATAATTTATATGAATGTGGAATATTGAAATATATTTTTCTTCAAAGTATCCGACAAAAAACCGCAAACGCGAGAAGAGCTTGTATAATGAAAGGAACATAATCGAGAAACGATTATGAAAATCTTTATCGCCAAGTGCAGGAAGGGGGAGGGGGGCGCTATTAGGGTGAAACATTTTTCGTAGAGAGAAAAATGGCTATAAAGCGGCAAAAGATAAGGTGAAAATATTAATGAGCGAACGTCCGTAATGAGCGCATTAATGTCCGACATGGCTCTATCGGTTGTAATCTGGTTAACGAGATGAATCATTCGCACGTAAATTCTAATGCAAAACTACCATTGACATTTTCAATGTTACGTGTATTAATATTAAATAAAAATCTAAAATAAATGTTGGATAAAATTAATCATTTTCTAAGATTATATGTTAATATCTTTATGTTAATTAATATCGTATTATTATATATATAAAGTATTATATATATATATATATATATATATATATATATATAGTATTATATATATAAAGTAGTATTGAATATAAAAAAGTATCTCAATACTAAAGGTAATTAAGAACATATAAAGACAAGTTTTCTTGGATGCGATTAATCGCATCGCGCGTTCGACTCGACTTTTTTCTCCCCCTTTTTTTATACAGAGATCCGCGTGCATCGACGGCGCAAATTTTCCGACGTTGTAATGTGTACCTCGAGAGAGAATGCGAGCGAGTGGTCGACGCCGAGAGAGAGTGGCCGAGCTCTCTTATGCCCGACGCAAAAAAGCTACGCTCGCCAAGTTTTCTTAAGCGAAGGCACGAGTACACGGCAAACTTGCCGCAAAAAAGCGAGAGCTTTTTCGCCATCAACGTGCATCAGCGCCAGCAGCGCCGGCGTCGATATGAGCCTCTTTTTATCCCCTAGAAAATGTATAATGTCGCCTATCAGACCGTTGTGTAATAATAATAACGCGGCGCATAATTATAGCGTAACTCTTTCATCTGTCTTAATAACCTCATACGTTGAAAACGTACATGTCTCTGTCCAAAAATGATAACATGATAATCGTAATAATTACGAGTAAAAAAAATTAAATATCCATCAGTGCAAAATGAATAAAAATGACATATAGATGAATGACATATAGATGAATATACGGCGTAAGATGAAAATGACGAATGTAAGCATCTTGGAAAAATGTAAGAGAGAAAGTAAGATGGGAAGAAATTGGAGATATAATCAAAATAATACGAGTAAAAAAAATTAAATATCTATCAGTGCAAAATTTAAGCAGGAGATGAAAATGACGAATGTAAGCATCTTGGAAAAATGTAAGAGAGAAAGTAAGATGGAAAGAAATTGGAGAAATAATCGAAATAATACGAGTAAAAAAAATTAAATATTCATCAGTGCAAAATTTAAATGAATAAAAATGACGTATATAGGATGAATAAACGGCGCGAGATGAAAATGATGAACGTAAGCATCTTGGAAAAATGTAAGAAAATAAAATAGAAAGAAATTGGAGAGAGAGAGAGAGAGAGAGAGAGAGGGAGAGAGAGAGAAAGCATTGGTTTCTGTCGCAATTTCGTCTTTCGCAGAAATATCGCGGGCAAAACCCGGCGCTTTTTGCCACGTACATCGTCACCGTCGTCGCAGCCGATGGTACATAGTCAACACACTTACATGACCGCGCCGGGTCGACCGTTTATAAGAAATCGGCAAAAACACAACGGCGCAATACTTGCACGCCGGCGGAAGAAACTGCACGGTTTTGCGCCGACATGGCCAGAGCCGTAAGCCGTGAGTCACAGAGCCCGAGAATCCGAATATTAATATTTAAAATACGATCGAAACCGATTACAGATATATATAAGAAGCTTTACGGAAAAATAGAATATCCCCAGACTCGCTGTCATCGCGCGCAAAGTATCGATATTGCCTTAATGTCGATTGTTGATGCCAAAAATGAAACGTCAAAAGGAGCGAAATAACGTTGCGTATCGATAATCATCGAATCTTGCGAATAAAATGTGTATCTCGTGAAATATAAGTCGCGAGATAAAAATATGATGTTTTTAATGAGTATGTTTTTGCTGTTTACTAATTACTCGCTTCGCTTGTTCCCGCTTTGTCACGCTAATGTTGCTAGTAGAAACGGTAAACATTTTCCGCAAAAAGCGTCAGGGGCGTTACATGGTATCGTGTTGTGCGATATGCTACTTTTAATCATAACGCTTCTATGAAATTATACCACTTTGGTTTTTTTAACGATACCATACAGAATAATATATAATTATATCTCGACAAGAGAGAGAGAGAGAGAGAGAGAGGGGGGGGGGGAGAAAACTTTCATTAAATCGTACCGCGGTATGGTTTGAGAGAACGACAACAATAGCTAACCGACATTCCTTACCGAGGCAAAGATCGAGAAAATTGCGAAAGCGATAAATAGCGCTGCAAGAAAACATGTCCCAAAGAATTTTCGAAACAAGCGACATATCGAACTCGGTCGAGCGCTTTTTATCGCGATGCACCGAGTCGCGCGGTAAAACGCTCAAAGTAGACGAAGAAGAGCTCGTCCGCAGTTTCGTCGAGATGGAAGAAGAAAAATCTTGTTTTTCTGACGCGAGAAAGAGAGAGAACTGCGAGCTTTTTGTCGCCGGCATGACTCATCCAGTTTTTCGATGAGAGAGAGAGAGAGAGAGACACACACACACACACACACCACAAAAGCGCGATAGCCCACGATAGCTCCTCGGTCGAAACTTCTTCGCTTCGTCGGTAACTGCTGGCGATTACGTTTCTTGCGTAAACCCATCGGCGAGAGAGCAGCATTTGCGATCGAAATGCGACTCGCGCGCACGCTTTAGAAACGAGCTCGCGAATATATGAGTACAATAGTGGTCCGATCTACAAGAAACGAGGAAATAAACTCATCTCACGGCTAAATCCCTTACATCAGAATCTATGCGAGTGACCCCCTCAGTTTCTCCCTTAATAAATGGAGCGACAAATATTTTTGGAGCATTCGGAGCTCCTTTTGGGTCAAAATACTGTTGAATTGTCTTCAATTACGAAGAATAAGAATTTTGAAGTTTATAACAATTTTTTTTAATTGCACTTTAGCAAATTAATGAAAAACGAAAAGCTTCGGGGGATTCGGCTATTATCGCGCTGAATATTTCTATCAATATTTAAAATATTTAGAGAAAGTCATTTTTATTATTAAATAAAAGATCAAATGCACAAGGTTTCGCTCAAAGTTATCTCAAATTTAGACAAAATATAATTAAATCAAAGTTTATATTGTATATAATTACTAATATTACAATAAAATTAATAATTGCAATAATTATATAGTATTCGATAATTAACAAAAATAATTCCACAAATTTAAAATAATTATTAATCATGACTGATAATCTACCAGAAACTGATAAATACATTTATAAAAAATGTATATATATCATACCAAAACTTAACTTACGTATGTTTATATAATGTTTGTGTATAACTTTTTTGAATAGATTAAAAAGAATTCCGAACATATTACTTTTAATTATGCTAATATAGAAATAAAAAATAATATTTATCTGCGGTATATATATTTAAAATAATTGACCTAACACACATTATATGAAATGTGTCCTTTATACAGTCATGGCGTATGTTTTTCTTTATGTAATTAAATATTTTTTTTATTAGTTAAATGGTTAATAAACGTTTTGTACTTCTTCTCTATTGACTACTTTTTTACAAGTGCATAAAACATAATTGTAATTATGATGTAATATGAATAATTACGGATACAATTGAATGACTATAAATGTTATTTATACGACGAAGTAATAGTCAAATGCGTGTGTTGCCTCGAAAATTACATTTTTTATTGTTTTTTTTGCATTCCATATTTATTATTTAATTGTTAATAAAAAACAATTAACAATATTCATATAAATTTTCGAGTATTTTAAAATCGCACATGTGTATATATTATGTCATGTATGTATATATACACACATGCGTACAAGGTTTAGTCAAGCATACATTCCGTTATTTTTTTAAATAATAGAATTAGAAAATATTTCGAACAAAAGTTTTGTTTAAAATCTATATAATGTGACTTCAATTTTAAATTAATTTTCTTTAAATATTGTCCATGTGTGGCAGTTTTATTTTTAAAAATTAAATGATACATTAAATGATACATTTATTTTACTACAATTTTACAAGGTATTTTACGACAAATTCGATGTCATGCAATAAAATAAGATTTTCAATAATCGTTCACAAAATATTACTTGTGTTGCTTTCAAGTACAAATGGAAAAACAAAATAACTACTATTAAAAAAAATGAATCCTATTATTGAAAAAAAAAACTGGAATATATACGCTTAAACCAAACACGCTGCATAAATTTCACACGCAACGCTATTACATCATTTACACGCGATTAAATCATTTATTAAATTCCCGATTAAATCGCGGCGAATAATAATTTGAAAAACAACTTACAGGTGCCGTTGACATTTCTGCTGAGTATCCTGGGCACGGCGGCGACCGACACGCCGGCCGGCTGTTGATGATTGCCAGGAGGGTTGGCCACAACGACGACAGGATTCTGCGAGGCGGACGCGAGCGTCGCGACGACGTTCGCGCTCGTTCCACCGTTGCCGTTGCTGGTAGCGGTGCTCGGCGCGGAAGGTACCGGCGAGGGCGTCGCGACGCCTCGCGTCGCCGCCGCCGTCGCCGCCGCCGCTACCGACGTCTCTTCCGCGGCCGGCGCGGCGCCGACCACCACGCGCGCGTCCATCGCGGCCACCGGTGCTAGCTATGTCCGCGGCACCTGCTCACGGGACCGCGGTGACCACGGGCTTCCAGATCGACCGCCTCCGGTAGCATCCAACGAGGTGCATTCGATCGCCGCGCGTTTACGTCGGCCTCGAGAAGAAACGAAAACGTCGAGCGGACTCCTAAAGATCGTTTCCTCGATCGCGTTATCGCGTCGCGCGGATCGCGAGGATCATCGTCGCGCGAGGAGACGACGTGGGGTTAAGTCGTGGCGAAAAGAAAAAAATGGAAAAAGAATCGCCAATTTTTTTGGGGGGGATCTTGGGAAAACAAACGAGGTAATCGGTCGCGTCGAGTCGCGGAACGACCGAAACTACACCGCGGAAGTGGCGCGTGTGTGAGAAAAAAAAGATTGTCACACCGTGCGGGACAGCGACACCGACGCGTTTCGTACGCTGGCGCGGGACACATTGCGCGTCGCGCGACGAATACGCGGCGTATCTTTCGCGCTGCCCCTCCACTCGGCGCAGGCGCCCCCCTCCACCCCTCCGCGGACGTCGCGGCGCGCCGCGGTCTCCGAGATCTGTCAAAGCTAATAATAACGCGATCGGGAGATATTTAACTCGTCTATAATACTACTGTTAACTATCTATGAATGACAGGCTATGAAAACTATAGAGTAATTCGTCGTAAATACAATTAAGAAAGGATGTGTGTGATTCTAAAAGAAAAATATATCAAAAATTTTACTTCGAAAGAATTAATTAATCTTTTAATGAGTGTAGGAAAATATATAAGATATATGCGTGAAAGAAAAAACTGTGAAACTAGGACATCCCATATGTCATGGACAAAATACAGTAAACAAGAATGATTGCGTCAATAATTGAGATATATATATACACACACACACACATGAGTTGTTTATCCTTTATATGTACGTTAATTATAATTATAATTTTAGAGCGTTAACGGAGAACTTGAAAACAGAAAACTTGCAGAAAGAGAGAGAGAGAATTTGTTCTTTTAAATGTATGAAATAACGCACATTAATTTAGAGCTTTATATTAATTATTACATTAAATTTCGTATAATACTATTGACATTGAGAAAATAATCTTAATTCCTTTGAAGGACATAGTATTTTAAATATTTCAGAAAAGTTTAAATCTCTCAATCATTTATTACTGAAATTATTGTGTTTATAAGAATTTTTTAATTACATTTAAAAGAAAATTTAAGAATTATTTTGCATTTTCGAGCGAATAATAATGAGCTGTTTGATCAAAAACACATTAATAAATACACGAAAATTAAAACGTGCGTCATGATACGTCCTAGAATCAAAGAGCAAAAACGATCTCTACTTTTGCCCGCGACGAATAATTAGCATCATTGCCCGACAGCTCGTAACCCTTGCCAGGGGGTTAAAATCTAGCTGGGGCACGCCGATTCCGCGACGAGCCATCAGGAGCCACGAGAGGCGTGGCCGCGCGAATCGGCCAGAGATCGCGCTCTGTGCAAACTCCAGGGCAGCATAGGACAAGGGTCCACAGGAACGATGCGAAAACCGTTCGCGTCTCCCCTTCATCTCTCCTCTTTCGCTCGTCTTACCGGTGTCGTCGTGGTATACATAAGCTCCTCCCCGGCTCTCGTCGTGACTGTCATAAAAACGCGCCCCCTGCGCGCCTCGTGACGGCGGGGGAATGAGGGGATGGAACGATGGGAAGGGCGCGCCGTAAAAACCCATCTTCCCTCGTGCCCCTTCCTTTCTCTCTCTCTCTCTCTCCGCGCCCTTGGCTACTGCACCGTGCAACCCCTGCGAAATATACGCCTGCCTCTTTACTCATCTACACGCGGAGAAACCGACATTTTTGCAGGGTGGGACCCGAAATCCTCGGCATGTGGTTCCCTGTAAAATATGCGCCCTACCCCTAAAATTTTACTTTTTACTCTTTACTCCTTTCTGCGCGCGTGCATCTTGGGGTTTGAACGTTGAAGAGTCGACACGAGGAGTATAAGAAATCGCGATACAAAATGTTTATCGAGATAATTCTCATGTCTTTGAGATATAATGCTAAGGAGTTTTAAAATTACCTAACACCTACATATAGGTAAAAAAATGATTCTCTTTAGTACGCTACATGTATTAAATGCATACATCTGACATAAAATATAAAAAAAAATTAGAAACTTTTCAAAAATATATAGTATTATATAAATTGTATACTCATTTAATAGTATTCGGAAATTACTTGTACAAAATTGATAAAGCGTATTCTTTGATTGATGGTTCTCAATTTAATAAATTATTAATATTTTGAATATACATTGTCACAAAAAAGTGATTTTAATCACACAAAAAAATGATTTTAAATTAAAAAAAATATCTATTGCACAAAACTTTTCTATCAAAAGTTTCTCCGTCTCTTTCTCTCTCTTTCTCTTTTCCCCTCACCTCTTCCTTTCGTTCTTCAAAAATTCACAATAATATATTAAATTAAATGTGGAGTCGCTCTCTCGAAACATAAAATTTTCAGAAAATCTCGGTTTTCTCTTGAAAATATTTGCTCTCTTCTTCTCTCGACTCCTTCTTTTAACCATCCTTCATCGCTTCTCACCGCCGCGAACTGTTCTTTTTCCTCCTTCGTCGACATCGCTGCGATTCTTTTTGCCGCCACCCCCTGCTCTCCTCCCTTATTTTTGCTCTCCCTCTTTTTCCCTCTCGTTCATCCAGAGTACGTTTTCTCCTCCCTGTGTCTCTCCTCGCTCCCTTCCCCACAGTCTTTCTCCGGACCGGTAGGAAAAGCGCGCGAGACTTTTATTTTCGCACGTAGAAAAAGTAAGGCGGAAAGGGAGGTTTTGCTGGCAGACCGTTACTGCGAGGCGGACGTTTTTTGCGATAGCTTCGTAATCCGTGAAAGGGTGAGAGAGCGCCGGTAGAAACCAAAGGCGTCGCGACGCTGACTCGCTCGCTTATTCGCCATTTGCGTAAAGCCATACCGATTGCGCGTGCATTACAAGGCGAATGTACCGTGAATTCTTATTGGATAATTTCACTTTTCCTCTTTTTTGCTCCATTATTTATACAATACCGAAAAAGAAATAATTTTGATAACGTGAGAGAAATATCGAGAATAGAATTGTCTTATACACAAAGCGCTTTCGAATATAAAAATATTATTTTATGTATGCGTGTATGTGTTATGCGTACGCGTGCGCGCCTATGTATATTTTTTTATCAAAAATATTATTTTATTATATATTTATATAATATTATACGAATTAAATGCTCTGAAAATATCTCCGAAATGATCTATGATTTTTTTTTGCTCTATAAAAAATATTAATATAAAAGTACGTGTATTGAATGTAAAAAGAATTAATTTATGCAGAAATACTAAAGTAAAAGGATTGTGTCATATCTTTGAACAATTGTAATTATAATAAAATTTTCTATTTCTCTCTTTGTATGAATATTAAAATAAAATAATTACTAAAGAAAAAAATTATATAATGCTAAATGTGCGATATAAATACGAACCTTAGGATAAGGTCTTCGCGTCATCCGAGAAAAGAGGAAAAAAGTGCACGAAACGTGCTTAACGAAGGAACATAGTTCCTTGGCTGGAAAATATGCAAATTTACACGAGGAGCCTGAGAAACATTTGGAAAGGGTCGCGCGATGGACAATTTTTTGACCAAAGCATACTAATGCTAATAGCAGAAAAACCGACAAAAAATGAAGGGGATAGGCAACCGGTGAACATTATTATGCGTGAGATTCTCGACTGAAATGCCATAGATGATCGCAGCTGTTTCATTTCTCGCAAAAGTCACGCGGGATCAAAATAGCCTAAAGATAATCTTATTTCAAGATTCAAACATTTTTTTCAATAGATATAATTCTGATAAAAATTACGAAACGTTTTTAAGTTATCAACATACATAATTAACAATTATGAATTAAAGATGACTTTAATATTAATATTATTATGTAATAACAACATAATTATTAATAGTTTACACATTCACTCCAGAATTATAATTATAAATTTATCGCTATAATTGTCAACTTTTGATTGATTAAAAAACGTGGATATAAAATGTTATTGTATATTTTTTCCAAAAGATTTCTGAAATATATTTCTAGAAATAATTAACTTTCATATTTTATATCTATAAACAAACATATTTTATAATTATCAAAGAATTAGAGGGAAACCTCTTCATAAGAAAAAGAGTTTTTATATCTAGAAAATATATTTGAGAATCATACTTACAATAATTTTCTTGACGTGCGTTACGCTATGTTTGATAATGTGCTCTTATAATACTGTTAGGATACATTCGAAAATCCTATCCATAATGTAAAATAACATTTAATTAACTAATCAGGATAAAGAAATCTTTGCTCCTTTTGTTCTGATTTGATCAACTAAATGTTATTCTACCTCATGAAGAATTCCCAAACCTTATAGAAAACGACCGACTCTTTCGAATCGTAAATAAAATTAATTTCATTACGATATAGGATGTGCTTGGTAACGCTCATCGATCGCATGTGTCAATCGATTCTACTTATCGCTATTACGTTAATTTACGTCGTGAGATATAGAAGAACAAGAAAATATCTTGATCATCTTAAATGCTTCTTTTATTTATCATGCGATATAACGGAATTGTAATTCTATAGATTATATCACGTATCAATATTATGTTTTATTCTGTAGGAGAGAGAACACGCATTAGAAAATAATACTCGAAAATGGCAAGAATATACATTAAAAGATAAATGTTATTCATGCTATATCAACTGGTAAATATTCTTCTACATTCTGTTGCGTAAAACTTTAAAGACACGCAAAATGTATGTACTATATATATATATATACTCGTGTAAAAACGCACACAATTATTATAAAAATATAAGTTATCAAAATGTAAAAAATTATATAGCAGCGCTTATACATATATCGTAATAAGAATCGAACGATAAGAGGTAATCAGTGTAATTGTAAAAATAAATGCACGCTAATGCTATTATTCTCAGTATAGTAAATTCTTGTCTACTACACTAGTCTTGCGTCTACAAAAAAAAAGAAAACAATTTTACCTTATATTTCTAACAATTTAAATTTAAAAAATTTGATCTATATCAACAGCAGATAAGTATGTAATGGATGTACATTAAATAGTATACAATTTTAGCAATGTACAATACATATTATATAAAAATTGATGAGCATATACGAGTATCGTGTATGTAAATATATGTATATGTATATAAAAATCGCACATGTAAAAATAGAACCAATTAAATAAAATAAGCATTAAATAAAATCGAGCACACTATTGTTAATTATTGTATGACTTTGTTATTTTATATTTTAACAGTCATTCATGAAAATAATTCATAAATGTTTGAATAATATATTACATTCTTCCAATTTCTCTTCTACTCATGAGAGAGAGAAAGAGAGAGAAAGAGAGAATAATACAAAGAGTAATATTTCTTATTATAAAGCTTTAAAAAATTAGGATTAAAAATAAATAAAATTAAAAAGAAACACATTATGTGGAAAATTCTTAAATTATGTCAATGATAAATACTTATCATCAACTTATCTTAATACAAACAATTTTTTTAGGAACTCGTAGGCATTCTACTCTTAAATCCATTTTATAATTTTGCAAGCAATGCATCTAAATATACGGCAATTTATTTACTAGAGAAGAAATTTACTTATAAAAAATAATTGTTTAGTATCATAATTTTTAATATTTTATGATACTTTAGAACTTTTTTAAGATTTTACGATATTTTTGAACAAATACTCGTGTAACTTTTGCTTTGTTATAGAACATAAAATATGTGTAATTAAATGAACAAAGTAATATATATATATATATATATATATATATATATAATATATATATATGTAATTTATATATATATATATATATATATATATATATAATATATATATATATGTAATTTATATATATATATATATATATATATATATATATAATCAAATATATATCAAATTAGAAAAAGGATACTTACGTATATTTTCTTGCAAATTCCTTGTAAAGTATGAGAATGTACATACGAAAATACTTTATATGTTCTTTCCCTCTTTCCGTCTCCAATATCTTAGTGGAAACATCGAAAACGTGTGGAAATTTATACACAACCGTATTCGTACCATATTGGACTTCCGGTCTTCGGTTCCTTGTCAACGGGAGCTTCCGCGAGTACTTCATCTCGTGTTGCGTCTTTCGTCGGAGTACTGACGTTTTTGGATTCATTTATGACTGCTGATACTTTATTATAAATCAAAAAGGGTCGAGGCTCAACTTGTGTTTCTGATTTTGTATTCGTCTCCATCGGTACAGCATCGTTTCCTTGCTCCTGGAAGGATTCGCCTAGCAATCTGTCCGTCTGCATTTCAATAATTATCTTAATAAATATTATATTCGATGCAACGAATTTTAGTGTTATTGTATTGCACAATAATTGTAAAACAATAGTTGTTATTATTGTTGCTCCTTACGGGTAAAGAAGCGGACGATGGCGGAGAATCATCGTTATAATATACCGTTCTTCTAGTACCAGCTTGTCCAAGTGCATCTGATCCGAAAACTCTACTCGGTCCTAATATTAAGTATAAAGATGGACTATATTATTGATATCGCCTGATTAAAATCATTAAATTAAATATTTCTTTTACTTTGACAAATTATTTACCAGGCAAACGATAATCATCGGTACTTGCATCGGAATCATTCCAGCCTGTATCTGACTCGTACGTTTTACTGTCCGATTGCTTGGAATCTTCAGCCCATGAGCGTCGATTCTAATAAACATGTTTTACATTCCATTTTCGGTTAATCCATTCAAGAGAATTTCAATAATTATATAATAGATATACACACAAATCAAGCAGCGAAATAAATTGACAAATAAAATTTATATTTTATATTTTATGTGAAAAAAATTGAAATTTATATTTTATATGAAAAGAATTCGCGTAAAGTCAACAAGTAGTGATAAATAGTGCACAAGTATATATTTATATAATATATAAACATTCCTTATAGTTTTTGGAAGAATTTTTTCATGTACATAAATATTCCACAAGTGAATAATCATTACTTATAATCACCTTATTAAGGAGCTCCGAACCAGCTTTTCTGACTCTACGAACTAAACTGGCCCCAAAACCTTTTCTATTTTAGAAACATACATGTTATGCGAAAAAAATTGTACCTTATATATAATTTAGACAGGAAATATATAAAACAAATAGATATATAAAATTAAATGTTTACTAAACATACTTTTTGGTAGTGCAACTGTTCAATTTTCTATAGTGCTCCATAATTTTGTCTTCCAACTTTTCTTTTTGTCTATATAAGTGATTAACCTTATCCCTGCAACACACGCATCAATATTTTTTAAATAAATTGTAAAACATAAAGAAAATTAATTAGTTAAGTACAATTTGAAATATTAACTTTTTATATATCAATTTTTAAAAAATTATACTAAAATTATACTAACGCAAACAATTTTTCTTCCATATGATAATGCTCTTTATCTTGAAGTGAATGAGTTAAAAGTTCGTGATATTGTGCAAATAATAAACTTATATGTTCCATTAAGGAACGTCTGTCGTTATCCAATCCGGAATTCATTTCTAACAGCATCTAAAAAATAATACGTTGGCATTTTTCATAAGATTAATCAATAAACTTGATTTATATGCTCGCACGACATAATTATATTCGTACATCACATCGTTCATTAAGATTATTGACTTCTATCTTCAAATCCGAACATTGTTCATCTTTGATGCTAAGTTCGCCCTGCATTTCGGTTTGTTTTAGAGTCAGGCGATTCACCTCGATTTTATTCTTTCTGTAATCATCTTGCAAACTCCTATATTCCGCTTTCAATCTTTCGCTTGCAGTGTATAAGTTTCTAAAGTCATCCTAAAAACATTTGTGCTATTACAATCTATATACTGTATACATTTATCAATGAAACAAAGTATACGTATAAAATGAAACGTTTCATATATTTACAAATATATACCTTCAACTTGGAATGCTCTCCCCGTAGATTATTTAAGCTCTTTGTATTATTAATTAAAGCTTCCCGTTCAGATTGCAATGTTTCATTCTTCGCTTCTAGTCGCTCGCAAGTCTCGCGCAACGTTCTACTTTCATTCTTTACATCTCTTAAATTCGATTTAAGGACATCCCGTTCACGACGTAGATTCTCATATTCATTATTTAATTGTTCATGCAATGATTGCAAAGTGTTCTGATCATTAAGTAACGCAGAATATATATGCTGTTGCGTACTACGTTCTTTCAAAAGCTAGATATATAAATATAATAATCACACAAATAAAATTCACATAAAATTACATGTGCAATCGTAAAAATAATACAATAATTAAAAAGAATATAAATACTTCTTCTTTCTCCGCGACAAGTTGCGAGTTTGCCAGTTGTAAAGCGGTATGTTGCGCAGTTAGTGAATTGCTTTGCGATTGTAATGTTGTTATGCGGACTTCAAGTTTCGTATTCTCAGATTGTAACTGCTCCATTGCCGTTTTAGACAGAGATAACTTTGTTTGCAATTGTTCCAGTTCTTGCTGAAAATGAATAATAATATAGTATAATGCAGTAAAGCACATGTAATATAATTTTTACATCTTTTAAATATAAATATATACATTTAAAGGTTCCATCATAATTTCTAAAGTCTTATTAAGATCGCTTTCTTTTTCGGTATTGTCTATTGATTCTGATGTCGTTTTCTCACTGCTTTCTGATATAAATGATTTTTTAATGTGGTTTATTACTTCTGGTATTTGGTCAATTCTACAACAAATTTACATGCATAATAGATTGCAACAAAATGAGAAAAAGAAAATTTCTTTTCATATAAAATTTTATTTTATTAATACCTTTCCAATATAGTTTCCAGTGGTTGGGACAACAATATACTATCGCTAAGACCAAGTTTCTCTAGAACTGTGTACAATTGTTGATTGCTCAGTTTTTCTGCTACAAGATTAGACTGAAGTGTCTCTAAAGTTTCTCTATCAATTGCAGCTCGTGAATCAAGTTCTTTGCTCGATCGTTCAATTTCCTGCAATCTAAACTTGTCTCGTGATATTTATTAAATATGACAATAATTTACTTTATAAATGATAAATTTGTTTAAATGTACCTTGATATTTGTGTAAGACAATCCTGTAATTCCTGCTCAAGTTGCAAGATCTTTCTCTCCAAGATTTCTATTGTATTTGTTGCTTTATCTAAAGCTACATCTTTCTCCTAAAATATTATTCAAAATTATTTATGCAAAATATTATGCTTATAGTACAGCATGTGTAAATAATATTTACTTCAATAATTTTTCTGCATTTATAAATATCACGTTGTGCTGCATCTTTCTCTTTTTCTATTGTTGTTAATCTTGATTCGAAATCAAGGCATTTGAATTTAATATCATTGGCATTATTCGCAACGAGTTGCAATTTTTCAACTTTTTGATTTGTCATTTCCAGAGTGCGTTCCAACTCGTCATCGCGTTGTTGCACGCTCTCTAATAATAATTGAACACGTTGCTTTTCTTTTACTGCTACATCATAATTTTTTTCTAATTCTGTCATTTTTGCATGATGAGTCTGAAAATGACAAAGAGAAAGACAAAGTAATAATAATATAAGTCTGTCATTATTGTATCTCAATAATATAAATATTGTATCTGAATATTATTTATATAATATAAATAAATATTGTATCTCAATAATATAAATATTCTATTTGAATATTATTTATATAATATAAATATTCTATCTGAATATTTATATTACAAAAAAATATAATTTGTTTTAACATACTTGGATTTCTTGTTGTTGTTTCTCAAAAGAAGCTCGTTGATTTTTAAGGGTGTTTTGAAGTTTTTTATTTTCTTCTAACGCTTGCTTGCAAACCAATTCCAAATCGGAATTTTGTTGCGTAAGTCTTTCTTTATTATCGTTCAATGATTCAATCTTCAATGAAAGCTTCTTTGTTTCTTTTTCCAACTCCAAAATACGAGACGAATTCTCATAAAATGAATTTTCTTTCAATGAATCTATCAAAGTATTTAAACGACGATTTTCCAATTCTAATTTTAATGCTCGCGTTTGAGCATTACTCGTTAGTTGTTCAGACAATCTATTATCAGCGTGTACTAAACAATTTAATAACATTTAATCTTATTTATTAATAATAATAATAACAACTTTATTACTTTATAATATATCTCAAGACATACAAAACTTATAGATCACCTGGTTCTTCAGAATCACTAGATCCTGCAGCTTCACTAGCAGCAGCTTTTGTTAATTGATGCAATTGTGTATTTTCCTCTACAAGTTCTTGATATTTTTCTTTATCAGCAGCACGTTCCTGAGAAAAATTTTCTTAATTTGTTATATAATTGTATGTATTTTCTATTAGACTGATAATATTGCAAAATGTTTTGAATCTTCTTACCAATGCCATATCATTAAGTAACTGCTTATATTTGATGATTTCAGATTCAAGTTCCAACACTTTATCTGTCCTATTTCTTGACAAACTTAATTGTTCCTCAAGCATTTCTTTAGTTTCCATTAAAACTCTTAAATATATACAATGAACAGTTTATAACAATTATTTTATTTATGATATTATTAAAGTATTACGAAAATAAAAATATATTACTTATTGTCGTCACGTAACTCTTCTACCCGAATTTTATAAAATTCAATATCTGTGAGTTTTTCTCTATATCGTGCTACTTCTATTTCTAAACGATCCGCTCTATCTGCTCTTTCAATCACAGCATCCAATTCATCCCTATAGGATTTAGCAGTACGAGCTTCGTGCATTAATTCTTGATGCTAAAATATAAAATATTTACACATTTTATATAAACTTCTCTACTGAAAATATTACTTAATACATATTACCTCTTGTTTTAATTTTACAAGCAATGCTTTAGTATGCTCCAATTCTTCCTTACATTCAAGTAAAGCTTCCGTTTTTTCCTCCCTGCAAAATTATTATTTAAATACTGAAAAAGTTAGCATTAAATATTTAATAAAATGCAATTAAATTATAAACCGGCGAAATGACTCGTACAAAAATAAGACTTAAACAAATTTTCTTAATTTTAATTATAAAAATATAGTGTCTGGAAAATCGCTCGCAGTACTTCCGGAAATAATTCGGGACCTAGAAGGAAGGAAAAAACCTAGATAAACAGGTCCAGAAATAAGTCGTTTCCGATAGCCATTTTTATGTTAAAAAATCGTAATTTAGTCCGCTTGACATCCTTCTTTTTAAATTTTAAATTTAATTTTTAATTTTTAATTTTTAAATTTAAATTTTTAAATTCAAATTTTTAAATTTCAATTTTTAAATTCAAATTTTTAAATTCAAATTTTTAAATTCAAATTTTTAAATTCAAATTCAAATTTTTAAATTTAAAATTTAAATTTAAATTTTTAAATTCAAATTTTTAAATTCAAATTCAAATTTTTAAATTTAAAATTTAAATTTAAATTTTTAAATTCAAATTTTTAAATTCAAATTTTTAAATTCAAATTCAAATTTTTAAATTTAAAATTTAAATTTAAATTTTTAAATTCAAATTTTTAAATTCAAATTCAAATTTTCAAATTTAAAATTTAAATTTAAATTTTTAAATTTAAATTTTTAAATTCAAATTCAAATTTTTAAATTTAAAATTAAAATTTAAATTTAAAAATTTGAATTTGAATTTAAAAATTTGAATTTAAAAATTTAAATTTAAAAATTTAAAAAGAGAGATACCAAGTGGACTATAAATTACAATTTTTTTAACATAAAAGTGGCTATAACTTTGAAACAACTTATTTCCGGACCTATATTTATATAGATTTTTTTCCTTCTTCTTTCCTGAATCACTTCCCGAAGTACTGCGGGCAATTTTTCGAACACCGTGTACAAATTGATATTATACTTTATTTGTAAAAAAAATTTCTATTATAAATTATATATAACAAGAATCTTAATCAATAGAAATGTATAATTTGATTATATTAATGCATGATCAAACAATGATCCATACACTTTTGTATTGATAATTGATTTTTTCAAAAAATACATGCAATAAAAAATACTCATTTTATATCTTTTAGTACATATTTCTCAAGAGATTATTTTTTTGCCAATTGTACTACAATTTATTAAATGTTCTATAAATTGTACTACAATTTATTAAATTTTCAATAATTAGATGAGAAGAAAGTATTTTAAAAAACAAACATACAATTCTTGGCGCTGTTTCCGAACTTTAGATTTCCAATCGGCCAATTCCGCATAATGATGATTATCTTCTCTTTCTGTTTTAGTAACAGGATGAGATTGTTGTATCTTACTCATTTCTTCAGATTCTGCACTGATAGAGGAATCATTTCGCTCAACACTATCATCTAGCGCTGCATCTCTCCATTTCTGTTTTTGTTGTATGTAATGTTGTATAAACAATTAGACAGATGCTTTCTTAAAAATATGAATAAAAGAGTCATCCATTACAAGTAATTATAATATTGAGACAATAATATACCTCTCGATATAAATCCAATTCTTGAATCCATTTTTTGATTTGGGCAAATAGGAAACCCATGTTTGCATTTTCCATAGCGTCTTGCGTAATGACTATATCTTGATGATCTGTCACCTGTATATCACAAATATATCTGTACATTATGAAATAAATTTTACTAATAACACCTTATTTGATATTTTAGATATTTTAGCACCTGTTTAATGCAATCTACTATCGCAAGTTGCGTGTCAACATGTAGTGTTTTTATGTTAGTAATAAACTTCTCCTTATTTGGACATTGGACGGCACATCCAAGAAGTAGCAAGAGTAACAATTTCATATCTGCTATATACAATTCCGGTTCCTTTCCTAAATTTGTGACATCGGGTAATTTTAAGATCAAGTGATCTAACTCCTCCTCGTAAAATTGTTTCATATTTTGTACTATAGTCTTCAGGTTTTTCGTGCGAATAACAGGATTGCCATCAGAAGGTACTACTTCGTCATGTAGTGGTTCTGGATTGCTATAAATATAACGAAAAAATATTATGTTTCACTTGAAGATCATATTACTTTAATGTACAAGTCTATGTATTATATAAGTCAAATTATAATTCAATCTTTTTAATATACACTTACATTTGCAGGAAGACATTATGCAACAAGACACCATCCGCTAAATCTTCATAATTAATATTAGGATCTTCCAGGCAGCTAACAAACTATTGAAATAAAAATATGCAGTCAACATGTCATGTAATATAATCGAATCAATATTTAAATATACAATTTGATCGTATTCTTTTCGAATTTATTCAAACATCTGAAATATCAGAAATATCCAATCGATAGACTTACCCAAGTAACCAATGGCCCGGTCAAGAAATCGTCAATCTCCAAGGAAGCCATCTTCATAATTCGTACAGAATAATCGTGTGGTTATCATTTGAGGATTTCGTTGATATTTTTTTTCTTCACGAGCACCGTCATGAAGAAATTGGAGCTGTCCAAGAGTCGTCGAACTCTTCGTGATATTTCTCACCACTCTGTCAACTTGTCGGGCGATTCGCTTTTAGTGTTGTATACGATGTCGTGTACTCGCCGCACAAAATAATTCCTCAGGATTTATCAATCGTTCGCGAAGAAGGTACACTTCGCGAGTGTTTGGAGGATGAAATCGCTGCACAATCAGAGAGGCAGAGAACAACCGCGGTCAGCTGGAGATCATCATCGCGCCTTCAATTTCACCAGTTTCGCGCAGAAGGAGCGCATTTTTTATATACACTTTTTCAACCGAGCCGATGTTTACTCTGTCACAAATGAACAGAACGCCAATACGAGACAAAAATCTTGGCGACTTTGACAGTTTTCACAACAAAGCAACAATATCGCAAATAAGTAGGCTGAGCGTCGCGCAAACTCGATCGATCGACGAGGTTGTGTTCTAAAATTTGTCTCTTGAAGCAAAATAACAATCGACCAATCGGGATAAAGGAATTTTAGTTCCTTTTATCCCGATTCGTCCCATTATTGCGGCCATGTTGTTGCGTCCTTTGTATCACGCGCGATGATTGGTTCGTTTTGAAAACTTGTATTTTCGAACGCGGCCGATTATAAATGAAAATAAGATTGGCACAATTCAAATTTTCAGTTTTGGTTCCCGCGATAATATCGGCTGATATCAATTATAGGTGCAATTTCATTGACGCTAGAAACCAGCGGCAAATTAAAATCACTAGACTTTCTCTAGATTTGGCGTCAATAAAATAAAGTTCAAACAGTTTCAACTTTTTCAGTGTGTAAAGGTGCGACCTTATTGACGCTAAAAAGTAGCGTCAATCATTGGTTGAACAAGGAGGTAAGTATAGTTGCTTCATTGTTCAACCAATGGTTGACGCTACTTTTTAGCGTCAATGAGGCCGCATCCTAAAGCGTCCTTTTCATTGACGCTAAAAAATAGCGTCAATGAAATTGCACCTTAAGTTCATATTTTTATGTTTATAGAGGACGCATCGTCCTTTCAGGGATAACCAAAAGCCGGGTACTTTGTTAATCTAGTGACTTTAAGATCGCCTAAAAGCAGACTATGACAAAAAAGAGTGAAAACTATGAACAACTTTGTTGTTTGTTTTAAAGATTTTAAAAATGGCTTGTCGTATGCTACATATTTAGAGTTGTAAATAATTTGATAAAAAATGTTCAATCTATAAACAATGGTAACGCAAATGAAATATATCATTGTCTCTAAATCATTATATGTAATTAACATATAATGTGTATTTAAAATTAATTTATCAATTTAACTCCAATAAAATTATGAAATTTTTTTCAGGTATATTATTGTTTAATATTGTTTAATTTATTGCTTGTCAGTCATTCACATTTATTAAAAATAGTCACTTTATTAAATAATGTGAGAAACTATATTTTTTGCGAATAGTAAATAGAACTTTTATGAATATAGCATTTTGATAGTTTATATTTACAGTAGAAAATAATTTGTATTTCACTGTGCTTTTGTTCTATAAGACCTGAAGATGAATTATGAAAGGGTGTGACAAGTATCAGTAATGCAGGAAGACGCAGAGATAGAGCAAGAAGAGTAGTGAAAAGAGAAAGCTCCTGTAGCAGAGATAGAGCAAGAAGAGTAGTGAAAAGAGAAATAAGGCGCAAATTATTGGCATGGGAAAAATTCCGATACAATTTCCTGTCTAAACACTTCTGTGTTTAGAGGAAAAGAATTAATTCAACAGCAAAAACTGCTTGTAAATCTTGAAAGAAAGCAAAAACTTATGAAATTACCACAAAGTCAGACCAGACCAATGCAAATAAAATTATCGCTATTGGAATGTGGTTGGATGAGTGTTACAATGGATGGCAGAAGCATTGAATTAGATCTTATTGGAAAAGGTTAATATTTATGCTATTATTGGATTATAATGGTTAAATCACACACATACAAAAATCATGTGATACGATGTCTATTTTCAATTTTTTTTTTTATGTTTCAGTTCTAAATATTAGAATCTTATATAATTAATATCTTTGTTTTCTGTAGATACATTTGAAAGTTTTGAAACCTGGATTTTGGAAAACAAAATAATAACTTGTATGACCGGTAATTTAGCACGTAAGACTAGAATCAGTTCATTTATAGTAACTGGAAATGGAAATGGATTAGCTGGATTTGCGTTATCAAAAGCCAAAGCATCCTTAAAGACGGTTAAAAATAGGGCTGGTCAAAGACTAATGTATATTCCTACATATAAGGAATACACTGGTAAGAAAATAATTGTCAATACTATATAATATAAAATTTATTTCTTCTCTTTTAATATCACTTTGTATTTTTCAGTGTTACATGATTTCTTTACACAGTTTGAGAATATAAAAATATTTGTAAAGAAAATTCATGAAGGATAATGGGCTTGTTTGTCATCATGCGATAAAAGCGTGTTGCGAGATAATTGACATAAAGGATATGTATGCCAAAGTACAAGGAGGAATGTAAAAGCATTCTTTATTGCAACAGGTATGTATATAAAGTATTTAAAGGCATATTATACTTTTTATTTAATTTATATTAGAAAGAAACATTTTTTATTTATAAAAATATATATACATTATATATATATATATATATATATATATATATATATATATATATATGTTAGACATAAAGCTAAAAAAAAACGTGGATTGTGTCGATTAATTAATTAATTGTTTTATTTAATTATTAATTTATATATATATTATTAACAATAATTTTTTGTTTACTTAAACTTAACTATAAGGTATAAGGTTGTACATAAGAAACAATCTTTTTTTATTTAGTATTTCAAACATATTTTCATAGAACTTTAATTTAATTATTATATTATTAAAAATATTGAACAAAATAAAGAATTAAAGCTGGCTTTCTCTGCAGTCTCATGGCAGATTATATCAGAAATCATACTTTAGTTATTGCAATACATCATGAAACAAATCAATCTCAAATAATGGAAATATTTGCAGAAATATAATGTAATGTGTAATATGTAATGTAAATATTTTAATTTTTTTGTATGCGATCTATTTTTTATTCTATCGATATTTTCATAGTGATGCACCTTGAGCACTTTGCTTCATATGTTTGCAATAAAAATATATTAAAGCAAATTATTTTGCAAATTTATTATTCTAATTTTTATTTAGAAAGACTAAGATTAAAAAAGACGTATGCATTTTTTTCAGATATTTCTATTGAAAAAAACGCATCAGATAAAACTTTCCTGTACATTTTAAATGCGCCAAAAGATTTGCTCTTTATTCCACTTACTGCAATAATGTACACTAAAAATGACAGATCTATATTAAAAATGATAGATCTATATTTAGTAATTGGAAAGAAAGAGAGGAGAAATGAAAAGTGCATCTAGAGAATTTAAAAGAATAAAAATCTAAAAATAATAATACATAAAAATTAATATTATGTATTTTTTTCATGAAGAATGTGGGGCGCACATTTATGCATTTATTTATTTAGATGCGATTTACTTTAGAGCACATTCAGTATTCAACTTTAATTTTATTTTCTCTTTCTTATGATATATAACATAATTACCTGCAAATGCCATCATTTTTGTGTGCTTACAGTGATACAGAAGCAACATTACAAGTACTATATTTACAGATAACATCTGTATAATAAAAAAAGCACCAAAAATCTAATGATGAAAAAAGGATAAATATTGTAGACCAGGATAGTATCAACCAATTATTCCACTGCTCTGTTTCATTAGAGTTGCAATTTTCTTTTATATCATAAATATTATAAATAAGATAAAGATTTCTGTACGTTTCAAATAAATTTATATATTTTAAGTATGTAATACTGGGCACACATATTAAAAGGTGATAATATCGCAGTTATAATAAGATACGATCCTGGCAATGTAGTGATTTTTGGATCCTACTTAAAATAATTTAATTTGATTTATTTTTGAGAAATGCGCACAATACTTGAGAACAAATTATTTTTGTGCCATGTATTACCTGTGTAAAATTCCACACACAGTATCATATTGTCTGTGATATATGAAAAGCTTCATCGATGAAATATGATTGAGATATAAGAAAAGTAATATAGTACTTGTAATGAATAACATTAATGTGGAATACATAAATATTTTATATTTTAATTTCATATAATCAAGATGAGATAAGACACTCATGATTACTTTAAAAATGTGTCCACAAATATCATGTAACTTCAACAGCTGCACATTCGTCAAATTAATCCTATTACGTTAAATGAATCACAGCAGCTTGTTTTAATTTAATCTAACCTAACCAATTATATTATATGCTTCTCATTAAAATGTGTAAAACTGTACGTCGCACATTTAATACGATTAATATACTACGTAATAAAATATAATACACTAATGAAATAATTAAATATTATTTTTGAAAGCATGATAAAATCCAGGCAGCATACGCTTGTGTTTACATCCGACATCCAAAGCACTGAGAGGTTAGGTTAGATCGAAAAAATTTATCGTTTAACAGTTGGCAGCCCTACGAGATAGGCTGTGCAGCACTGCGCGTATATAAAATAAATTTGAAATCGCTTCTAGCTAACCATCTTCACGCGATCGACTTTATTTGAATTGCACGGCATCGCATCGAATTATGATGCGGTGCCGATTTGTTCGAACGTAATTCGGGACATCGCGATGCTGTATAAGCGTCGAATGAGCACGAATTGTCACGCAAATATGATAAATCACATCTACTCACCGTTCACCGGCTGTTCCACAGGCCGCTCCACTCGTTCGTCTCGGGACGTCCCATTCCGATCTTGATGCACACGATATCATCAACGCGAACGCGCGACACTTTATTCGGCACTCCCGATATTCGCTCGCATCCGATAATCATCATCAAGGGCGCAAATAATGCGACGCAACTTCGCTCCATCTTCGCGATGACGCCATCACTGAATGTCGTCAAAAATCGCTATCGCGCGTTTCCATCGACACACTATAAAAGTCGCGCGATCATCCTTCGACACTTTCGACGCTCGTTCACTCGCGATATTCGTTTAAAAACGGTTAAAAGACACGAAAAATGCGGACGTACGACGATCCGTGTAACTGCGTATGACTCCAAGTCACGTATGACGTAGCTATGACGCGTATGACGTCGCAGTGACGTCACGCGCCAACATGGCGGCCGAACCAGTACGCACTGGTTCGGCCGCCATGTTGGCGCGTGACGTCACTGCGACGTCATACGCGTCATACGTGAATCTGAGTCATACGCAGTTACACGGATCGTCGTACGTCCGCATTTTTCGCGTCTTTTAACCGTTTTTAAACGAATATCACGAGTGAAAGAGCGTCGAAAGTGTTCAAGGATGATCGCGCGACTTTCATAATATGTCGGTGAAAGTGCGCGACAGCTATTTTTCACAGTTCAGTGATAGCGCGATCGCGAAGATGGAGCGAAGTTGCGTCGCGTTATTTGCGCCCTTGATGATGATTATCGGATGCGAGTGAATATCGGGAGTGCCGAATAAAGTGTCGTGCGTTCGCGTTGATGATATCGTGTGAGTTTGTGCGCATAAAGATCGGAATTGGACGTCCCGAGGGGAGCGAGTGGGGCGGCCTGTGGAACAGCCGGTGAACGGTGAGTAGATGTGATTTATCATATTTGCGTGACAATTCGTGCTCATTCGACGCTTATACAGCATCGCGATGTCCCGACTTACGTTCGAACAAATCGGCGCCGCATCATAATTCGATGCGATGCCGTGCAATTCAAATAAAGTCGATCGCGTGAAGATGGTTAGGCTGGAAGCGATTTCAAATTTATTTTATATACGCGCAATGCTGCACAGCCTATCTCGTAGGGCTGCCAACTGTTAGGTGCAATTTCATTGACACTAAAAAGTAGCGTCAATGAAAAGGCCGCTTTAAGATGCGGCCTCATTGACGCTAAAAAGTAGCGTCAACCATTGGTTGAACAATGAAGCAACTATACTTACCTCCTTGTTCAACCAATGGTTGACGCTACTTTTTAGCGTCAATGAGGCCGCACCTTTTGAACTTTATTTTATTGACGCCAAATCTAGAGAAAGTCTAGTGATTTTAATTTGCCGCTGGTTTCTAGCGTCAATGAAATTGCACCTTTATGTGAATGCGAGGCGCGTACCGCTCAATAGCAATCGAATGTGATTGGTTCCTTCTCTCGGATCCAGCAAATTAGCGTTGAATGTTACAAGAATATGTCAACAGTCTTCTTTGTTGAACGTCCTGCTGATGTTATTTTCATCGTCTATAGAATATAAGGATTTCTTGCAAATTTTATTTACTTATAATTAGCAGAATTATAATTAGCAGAAGCAGAAATTCCAGCAATATGGATATTGACAATTTGTTAATGTGAGTATGTGTTAACATATTTTGAAATAAGTGACCTTTGAAGTAAACAAACCGAAACATCTCATATATCTCTATCTTTGTTACTTATAATTTGCAAACTGCATTCTATCACGACCTGTATACTCTAAACTTTTAGCAAATTTTCAAAACGAGATTGCTAAAAATGAAATTAGGTTAGACTAAGTTAAACTAAATTACTTCATTTTTTATTTTTAGAGAGCCTACATCTTTCTTTTGGAAACAGAATAGAATAAAAACATTCAATAATTGGCTTTTTAAAGCATCCGACAAGTGTAATGCTAAAAGTATGGCAGCTGCTGGATTTTATGTTATTGGAGATAATAATGAACCAGATTTAGTGGAATGTTTTATTTGTGGTAAACAACTCGATGGCTGGGAAGCACACGATGATCCATGGTTAGTCACATACAATGAAATAATTTGTTTATTATTTTCATTATCTATTATTTTTTTTTGTAACAAGTATTCTGAAATTTTACCATAACTTGCAGGAATGAACATGTGAAACATCAATCAAGCTGTCCATTTGTAAAATTAAATAAACAGGATGAAAGTGAATGGACAGTGCATGAAATGTACGAATTATATAAAAAATATGAAATAAAAAAATACGTAAGTTTGTCCACATGCGAATTATATGTTAGCTTTAATTATCAATATATTTGCTTTATATTTACTTCATAATAATATTAAGTTTTTATAGTAATATAATTCTAATAATAATGTATAATTTTTTATTTTGTAGATGAATGAATTAGATAAAAAAATCATTACACTGAGAGATGAAGCTGCAACATTAAAAATTAACTTATTATCTGCATATAAAACACCACAAGAAAATAAAAAGAATATTAATTAGATAATAATTCTGATTATACCTTCATACACAATATGAAACTTTTATACGTAATATAAAGGTATTTTTTCTCTTTTATATATATTTCTCTAGGATTTCCAACCTACTTATAACTATTTAAATATATTTTGTAATACTTTTAAAAAAAATATATATAGAACAAAATTGGTCACATTTTGAATTTATGTAATGAAAAATATAAAATACATAATATACCCTCTTGTGGCAAAGAAAATTTTTTTACATAAACAATGCAGTGATTTTTAAATTTGTATTATTTTATTTATAAATAATACATTTATCATAATTAACTTAAATTATTAAATTGCGTGACTTAGTATTTTATGAAATAAATGGTTTCCAATGATGTATATATAGGGTGTTCAAATTATCGAGCAACTTGAAACTGATAATTTCTAAATGAAATTGATCTCTAATTGAAATTGATAAGATTTTCTTGAACTGAAAGATGTTTTAAATTTTACCAGAAAAATATAAAAACATTTATAATATATACATATAATGTATATAGTGAAAAAAATCTTAAATAGGTCTATTAAATTTTATATAAGTGCACCCTTTTGTAGAGTTACAGAAAATTTGAGAGAAAATAAAGTATAATAAGTAAATTGACAATTTTCTTGCAAGATTAATGATGACTTTACTAAAAACTGATTCTAGATTACTTCAAGAAATTTATAGGCGATTAAATCTGAAACACCCTATATATTATCTTACATAAAGTCATTCTATTTTTACACGCATATTCTACTAGTCTATCGTTGTGTATACCTATATAATGCCGGTTGATCAGAAACGTATTAACGGACCAGAATCATCTGTTCCGTATAATATTTATATTCATTCCGAAATAAAGAATAAAGGAATACAGCCTGATGCTCCGAAAAGACACGATGGCCGATCAAACAATGAGCTTAGAAATATATGTAAGGTTATGATTGAAGTTATAATCAGGACATATCCAAGTTTAATTTTCTTACATCTTAAGAGAAATTAAAAAAAAAAAATTTTTGTTGACAGTTTTGAAAACAGGTATAATTAGTCAGGCTAAAGGTTCTGCATACATTGAAATGGGCAATACCAAAATCATTTGCTCAGTATTCGATCCTAGAGAAGTGCCCAATAAAACTGGATACTGTGTACAAGGGGAACTATTTTGTGAATTCAAATTTGCACCCTTCTCTCACCACAAACGGAAAATGCATCAGCAAGATGCCGAGGAGAAAGAATACAGTTTAATATTGCAAAGAGCTCTGGAACCAGCAGTGTGTTTGGTACGCATTTTCTAAAATCTTTCAAACATTTTTAAACACTTTTAAAACTTTTAAAACTGCACAAAAAACTTTGTGAAACTGATAATTTACTGTAGAATTTAAATATGCACACACATATACATTTATGTACATATATATACATATATACATTAATGACTCATTATGTTTCTATTTCAGCAAGAATTTCCCAACTTTCAAGTTGACGTATATGCAACAGTTCTCGACAATGGTGGCTCTGCATTGGCCGCAGCGATAATGGCAGCTAGTTTAGCTTTAGCAAATGCTGGGGTGCCAATGTTTGGTTTGGTTACTGCATCCACTGTTGTAAGTAAATCACTGTATGTTAATTTAAACAAATTTACAACTTATAGTTAAAAATTTCTCATTACTCGATAGGGTATATACGATCACACGTATTTAGTGGATCCAACAGACACAGAAGAAACATTTTGTTGTACAAAATCTGTACCAGGCACAGTTCACAATCATGGAATTATAATACAAGCTGCTCTTCCGCAGCACGGCCAAATTTCTGAAATGTTTGTAGTGGGGAGCGTCGATACAGATACCATTGTACATTCCATGGATCTTATAAGCGAAGCTCATAAAGATATATGTCCCTTGCTGGAACAATGTCTTGTAAAGACTGTGTTCAAAACATTTCGTCCAAATATTAAAAAAACAGATACAAAATAAAGAAGCTATGATATTTAAATTGCCATTAAAATCCTATTAAATATTTTCTATTTAATTGTGTGAATGACACTTGTTTATTTCTACATAATTTTTTTATCTATATTTTTCCCGAGCAGTAGGAATATTTGAGATATTATTTTTAATTTTTACTTTCTACATTTAAAATGCAATTAACAGTAACATTCATATTTTATTCTTAGATGATTCTCTTAATTTTATATAATTTTATACATTTTCTATAATTTTATACATTTTCTATATTTTATAATTTTTCTTCTAAAATTGAAATATTAAAATTGAACATCTCTTATATGGAAGATGCAACTTTTTAAATGTCAAAAAGTTTATAATGAAAAAAATACGAGAAAATAAGTAAAAATCTTGTCTTAGTATTCTTATTATTAAAGAATGCTATTGAAAAAAACATGCATTTTATCTTTATATAAAGATAAAATGCATGCGATATAATATATCAATTGCATCTTTCGTAATATTTTTATGGATTCTCTAAAGTAATAGTAGTGCCATTATAGCATAGTTTAGTCGAGATTAAACGAACGTCCGATAAGCAATTGACCCCAGGCACCGCGCACTTAAAGTTATTTATCTGACTGTTCTAACGGGAGGACTTGTTGTTTTCGATAGAAAAAAGGGTCGAGAGACAAAGACAGGTAGAGAAAAAAACAGAGTGTGACGCATTTGGCGACGCGTGTCTAGTCGTTTATTGTCACGAGTCATCATCGGTGATATATCGCGACGCGTCCGAAACGCTTTACAGGTTCAGACGGACGCGTAATAATTATATCGCTCGCGGTCGCGGAATTGTTCGGGAGTCGCGTCGGCCATTTTGCCAGCCGTGAAGAAACTATGGCCATCTGACAGTACACGCCAATTCCTCCGACAACGCGTTTCGCACGGCAAAACAACAACGCAGTTGACCCAGGAACTCGTGTTTACGTCGCGAGCGGGACGCGCGAGACAGCGATCCACATCGACGCCCCGGCTCGTTCCATCCCGGGAACGCTAGTCATGCCAGTCGCGCGACAACGTTACCCCGGGAATGCGCTTGTGTAATAATCGTCGCGTGTGACGTCTAACCTATACGATTTCGTTTTTCTAGAGGAACACGAGAGCGAAAGATCACGGGTGGAATCGAGTCGCCGCCTCCCTTTCGTTTCGGGAAAAATGCGATCGCCACGAAGGTCGACATCGACAGGCGTCGACGGAAAGTGAAATTGCCGAAATTCGAAGCTCTTATTACGAGGATCTTATTGTATGTATACACCGCGAGCTCTCTCTATTTACAAATCAAACTCGCTCGCAGCGCATAAAGGTCAGCGATGTGCGAAGCAACGCGAATAATCACGTCCGCTCTAAGCGAAATTGAACGATAAACGAGGCGATTTGTATGAAAGGGTGAGGAATTGATCGCCTCTTTACACGGTAGGATAACTGACTGAATTTGCGTTGCCTCAGGAGATTTTGATCCATAGAAAATTCAGAAAATCTTTGCTTATTCCACGCGCTCCGATCAAGTTTTATTCGTATATTTAAGCAATATATAACAGCGAGGCCGAAAGAATACTCCACTCCATCGCAACGGGGACACGTACCAATGGATAGCTGAAATATTTTTATAAGACTATAAGCTCATAAGAGAGAGAGAGAGAGAGTGCGCAGTACAGATTACAATGTTTCATATGTAATAATTATGTTTAAGGCGTTACGTAGTTAATTATCCAGATTGTTGCGGCATAGAAAGGAGAGTACTTTTTATAACGTGCCAGTCAATCTTGCGCGAGAGATTGTACGCTACATATTGAGTGCCACATATACGAGAGTGGTTCGAGAACAATCAATTTAGTGCCATGTACAGGAGTATTTGTATTCGCTGAAATTAATATATTTGCTATATATCTGCAACATGAGATGTACAGAGGATAAAGCCTGACCCAAAGACTGTTGCGTGTTCCGATAATAGTCTGCAGAGCGGAAAATATGGATGAGAGAAGAGTAGCGGATTATTTTGTTATCGCTGGTTTACCCGGTCAAGACAATGAGTTTAACAAAGATAATAATGACACTAACGATAAGCTAGAGGATTGGTGCCAGGAAGGCACTCACCTAAAAGACATGCATATGCCACCTCCTATCACAGATCTTGCCGTAATATTTCCCGCTCTGGGAGAATATTGTCCCGAGGGGTATACGCTGTTAGAACAAACTGTATCAGGTTTCCCGGCAGATTTGAATCATGGAAGCTTACGAACAAACGAGTGTTACTTGTGCTACAGAAGAGGACGAGACAAACCTCCCCTGGTTGATATTGGTAAGGAAAGAAGAGCTACAAATGTTGGAAATTATAAAACAAATATTAAAAGTATATGTATAAATATTATCTAAGTACTATATATTTTATTCTCCAGGTGTAATATACGATGGAAAAGAACGTATAATGCAAGATGCTGAAATGGTATTAGAGACTCCTAAAGGCTACGTGGCAAACGTAAATAATTCTACTTCAAAAATTTTTGTAACATACAGACGAGCGAGTCGAAAGATGCCTTGCAATTCTCTTGTCGTTACGGACATATGCGTTATCTTGGCGAATAAAGGAGAGAGTCCTCCGCATGCGTTCTGTGTCATCAATAAGAATTTGAACAAAGGAATGCTAGGCAGCGATGTATTTTTGTGCTACAAAAAGTCCATGAATCGCGCTAATTTGATATCATTTAAGCCAGCAATACTCTATAAATATCCTACAGCTGATTACAACAGTTTTGTCTTTCCAAATTCTGTCGCCATGTTTTGTCTACCGATGGGTGCGACTATAGAATGTTGGCCTAAAGTAGCATGTAAACCTAAACCAGTATTCTCGACATTTGTCTTAACAGGCGATGCTGCTCAAAAAATGTATGGTTCAGCGATAACGTTTTACGAAGAACTCCAACTGGAATCGGACATTCCAAACTGTAAAAATAATCAAGAAATCATGGATACAGTCGAGAATAATAAAAATAATGGTACAAATATATTTCATAATTTTAATTTTCATAGTCTTTCAACTTTTCTAGTGATTGTTGTAATTAATATGAAATAAGAAATATTTTCTTACATCTTGTTACATGTATATTTCATTTTGTTTCAGCGGATAATATAGAAATGATAACCAAAAATAAGTCGCAAATGAAAATAAAATTGTTCAAAAGATCTGGTATACTTAAGAAACTCAGTATATTGCAATTGGAAAAGTTGCAATACACGGATCCCGCGAGTCAATCACTGAATATTAGTAAATCTATATGTATATTGTCTCATTGGCCATTTTTTGACACGTTCGAAAAGTTTCTAGTTTTCCTACATGGCATGGTAAACGGTGAGCCGCAAAGTGTCCCGATTGAAAAGTACATTTCATATTTTTTGTGCGACATACCATTCCCGAGTCCGCAGCGACCGAGAATCTTGGTACAGCTCAGTAGCCGAAACAGATTGATTTTGACGCAACCGGAGGATTCGGCTCTACCTAGATCAGGTGCAAGTTTCAAGCAATTACTGATAAACTTGGGACCTGACAATTGTTTACTGATACTATTATTAATATTAACCGAGCAAAAGATACTTGTTCACTCCTTACGTCCAGATGTACTTACTTCAGTGAGCGAAGCTATTGCTATGATTCTATTTCCTTTCAAATGGCAATGTCCGTATATACCGCTATGTCCTCTAGGATTAGCAGAGGTAATGCATATTACACATACATGCATACTTTTATATTGCTTCTTTTCAATGTTTTAATAGTTACACACATGCAAAAGATTTAAAAAGATAATTATTATAAGATTTAAACTTTCAGGTATTACATGCACCATTACCATTTCTGATTGGAGTAGATTCGAGATTCTTTGATTTATATGATCCTCCTTCTGATGTCAACTGTGTAAACTTGGATACTAATAATATAGCAATATGCGAAGATAAAAAGTATTTAAATATAAAATTATTACCTAAAAAAGCAGCTAGACAACTCAGAAATTGGTTGGAGATTTTGTCTTCGAAAATAATCTCGTGGGGAAAAACTAACTCTTCTCAAAAAGGTATATTATTATTAGTTTACTTTCTTCATTTTTTTTATTTCTCAACATTTATTTATTATTTTTATATTTTAGATAGAGGAGATGAAGATTTCAGCGTGGACAGAGAGTTTCAACAAAAACGGAAAGAGCAAGCTTTAGAACTCGAAATACAAGATGCTTTCTTAAGATTTATGGCGACAATTCTCAAAGGATATCGAAGTTATTTGGTACCAATTACAAAAGCACCTACTGTAGGAACAACAGATTCGACAAGTTTATTTAATTTCCAAGCATTTTTGAGAACTCGCGATAAAGCCCACGCTAAATTCTACTCTATGCTTGTCAAAACGCAAATATTTGCCAGGTAAATTAATTTACATTGTTCTATGATTAGTGTATGATCATGCACACACACACACACACACTATATATATTCTAATCACAAAATTAATTTTATAGATTTATAGAAGAAAGAAGTTTTGTATCAGATATGGATATGGCAGGGTTAGCATTTTTTGATGAATGTACAGAACGAATTGAAGAAGAAAATGGTAAATTTAGATATATTTTTTTACATTATTAGAATATACATAATGTAATAAAATAGCTTCTCATTCTTTGTATAATTTTTAGTAATTCTTCTGGAGCTCGATGAATCTCAACATAGTGAACGTACAGTATTTATACCTCCACCTGAAGCAGGAACAAATCAAACACCAATAACATATAAATTGTTCAAATTAAATCCGGATCTAATGAGGCCTCAGAAGAATTTTTGTTTGAAAAATCCATCTTTAAGTGCCTTTGGAATGGTACCTGGGAGTCCTATGGCTCGTAGAACAAAGCATGAAATCAAAGTTGCTCAAAGGATGGCTAGAAAACAAGTAAATAAAATGATATATAATAAAACATTAAGTTTCTTTATATGCAATTAGTAAAATTTGCCATCTTTATTCAGGCCGCGATGCCCGACAGATGGGGTAGATGTCTGCTCGGTACATGTTATAGTCTTTGGTTCTTACATTTACCGGCCATGCTGCAAGTCTCTAATCAACCCGCTGCAATTTTGCATCAGGCTTATGAATTATTAGTCAAAATGCAAAAGTTACGTCTCGATCCTATGGAAGAGGTATAAAAGAACTTTGAATTATAAATCACTAACAATTTAGAAAAAAACCGTTATTTATTTAAATGGATATCCGATATTATTTTTTATAGGTATGTTATAGAGCTATGATGCAACTTTGTGGCGTATACGGTCAACCAGTTTTAGCTGTAAAGTTATTATTCCATATGAAACGCAGCGGCGTGCAACCTAACGCTTTAACATACGGATTTTACAATAAGGTAAATTATTAATCTCATATTTTTTAAACTAGTAAAGACACCACCTTTTAAAATATAAATTTACATAGTATTGTGTGTAATTATTTTAATAATTTTAATTAATGTTTATATTAATATTATAATTTCTTTATATGTTTATAGGCTGTTCTCGAAGCAACTTGGCCTTCTGATATGACAAACTCGAGTCAACTGATGTGGAACAAGTTGCGAAATGTTATTGTTGGTGCAGCATTATTTAAAAAGGCTGGGAAGAAGAGCGCTAGAAGGCGATTGAGTTCAAATGCGGATTTTTTAACCGCCGATAAGACTGAAGGCATGGAGCATGCTCTTTCTCGGTCTAGTCTCGACAGTTCTCATTCTCAAGATACTGAAGCTGCACATAGTGATTGTGAGTTAATTTAATTTTTTTACGCGACTTGGCCAGTTTTTGAATAATTCTCTTATAATAAGTCCTTTATTTGGCAGCTACTAAAGGCAGTTCTGTATCAGATCTACATGGATTCGGATCACTCGAACTGAAAGCTAAACTTCTCCGGCAAAATAGTATAGTGAAAGATCAAACGACATTGAGTATGTTACAATCGGACGAATTGGAGCGGGCACCTAGTAATCCAAGGTATCTTTTATGTTCACTATTCAAAGTTGTGAACGTTAGTTTAGCTCTCAGATTTGCGCAAATCGCTGAAATCGCTTGTTTTTTTATAGATTATATCATATCATTTTACTAGTATTATTATGATAGCAGATGCAAGAGAGAGTATTTATTGTATAGAACATTTTTGCTCATTGTTACAGAAACCTTATGTAATAATTAATCTGCGTGTTGAGTATGCGTTGAAGATTTTACAGTGCTAATTTGCATGTATAGGCTTATGTAGATGTAATATTTTTTACGTAGGCTAACGCGCAGTGTTGAATCACCATTAAAAAGTCCCGTGCGCACACCAGTTACGGAAAATGACCCATTGGGTGCTCTCATTAATGACGAAACACCGATTGTGTCACCTTCCGAGGAGAATGATTCAAATTGCTCAACAAGTACTTTAACTGTTTTAAATAATACGACTGAAGAGAGACCAGGAGGGCCGCTTTTATTTAGAAGGTATGATATAACTTGTACATCGTATTTGCATGTGAAACATTGAAAAAATACAAATTTTTCAATACAATTTAAATATTTAAATAAGAGAAAGATAAGTGAAATTTAGAAGTAAATTATAGAGTTATATAGAAGTTATATAGAAGCAAATATTTTTTCGCAAAAATAAATATAAAGAGAAACATAAAATTATAATTCTCACAATCATCTAATGGGAAACTGTTACTGGTGATCAAAATTATCACGTAACATACATTATTATATTTGCACAATAAAAGTCTTTTCTTTTTATAAAGATCAGTTGCATAATGCTTTATATTCATATTACATGCGTATATTTCATCCCATGTATCTGATTTTAAACACAAAAAGCATTCTAATGTGTTTACAGCAACATTCTCCCACGTAGTGCAACTTTTCATCAAGCGGTAGATGAAAGTGGCATGACAGTAGGTGGACATTTACAGAGGAGCGAGACAATGCCTCATTCGGTGGCACAACAAGGGGAACAGGAGAGAGAAAAGGAGAGACTAGAAATAAGCAGTCTTTGGTCTCAAAATAAGGATAGTGTAACATCCAGCCTCTCTAGCTTAGGATCTAGTCTTAAACTTAGTTTCGGGTAAGATATTTGCGAGATATTTAATTCAATAAGATGCACTATTTGTAGTTTAATAATAATTTTCACAGTATACATTCCTCCAAAATGTCATGATAATATATACTTGCGCAAGACGCGATTATTTTATATTTTATAAATGTAGAAGAAATATATAATCATCTTAAAGTGCATAAATGAATCATATTTTTATTTGTATGTATATATATATAAATTTTTTTAAATAAGATACACATAATGCAATATTAATGGGAAAAATATTATGAATATATACATTAAAAACATCTTATAATTGAATATTTTTAATCACATTGATGGAGGAACGATACCAGTTTATTTTCGTTTATTATTTTGCATGCGCATTTGTTTTTCTTTTTTTTTTTTGTTATTCTGGTAAATGTAGACGATATTCCACGGGTGGATTGGCATTTGCTAAAAATAAGGATTTAATATCATCGAATCAACTTATTGAATCTCTTAGTCTCTCCAGTTATATCAGGTATGTAATGTAAATAGCTGCACAGATGCTTATTGAATATGCATTCTATTGATGTATGTGTGTATGTCTCTTTATTGTTTTAAGATATATTTATAATATTTACATAAACCAATTTTTCTTTTTTTGTTCGTATTCTTGATTAGTACAAATTCTTGTTCTAGCCCATCAAGTTTGACAGGAAAGAAGTCGAACGAAATAATACTTGGCGGCCTGAATAGCTTGAAATCTGCTGCAACAACTGTTGTTAAAAAATTTGACGAGATAAAAGAAGCCATTTCGGCAACGAGTACACCGGTAAAAAATAAGGAACGTGAACAAAAAATAGCTTACGGAATATCGCACGAGTCTTTAGATTCTCTTACTGATGGATCTTTACAAGATCGAAATGAAACTTCCACGAGAGCACCAGGTATATAAATATAAATTATGAAAACAATGGACATTACATATTTATATTATGCGATTAATATTCATTTTTTTTACAGGTGATGGAAATTTAGATTTATGCTCGTTATATGAACTCACAGAGTGTCTGTATCCAAAAGGCACTAGAGAGTTGGAGGAACGTCTTGCCATTGAGCTTGTGCTTTCCAGTGCAAGTAGATGTCATCATTGCACCGCTATCTTGTACGACGAAGAGATAATGGCTGGTTGGCAGCCGGAAGATTCCAATTTAAATACAGTCTGTCAGTATTGCGATAAGGCTACCGTACCTCTTCTCACCGTTACGATATTAGATTACAGGTAAAGAATCATATTATAAGCGTTACTAATCGTTATTAATCTTGAATAATATTAAAATTCGTTTACATAGATGTGAAGCGAGCGAAAAAAACAACGACCCTTTAATGGGAGCATTGGTAGAATTACTAGACCAACCGAAGGAATCTTTGGAACCAATAACAGTACCATATCTAAACCCATTAGTTCTGAGAAAAGAATTAGAGAGCGTATTAAGTCAAGAGGGGGATGCCTGTCTCACCAAGCATGGGTTTATTCAGGAACACCCGATAGTATATTGGAATTTGATCTGGTATTTCGAAAGGATTAATTTAACAAGTCATCTACCTGATCTCTGGTTGAATAACGATAAAAATTCAGAACTTCAAAGAACTGCAGGATTGGTGGGCGTCAGAACAATGTGGGATAATGAACGATTACATATGGATCGTTTGCCTATGTATCTCCAATGGAAATTAAATTCTACAGAGGATAGGACGTAAGTTTCAATAGATTGTCTCTCAAGTTACTAATTAATACTAATTAATCAACATGATATAGTAATTAAAATTAAATTTCAAATAAAGAAATAAATAAATAAGTAAATATATATATATATATATATATATATATATATATATATATATATATTTATTTTATTAATGAGAGGAGAGATTAAAGTAATAATTGCTTACATTATAAATAAAATAATTTTATCTTTTTAAACAAATAATGTGCAAAACGATTGTCATTTTGTTAATTTTTCATTTAGATTGATGCAGGCAGTGATAACATATGTTCGTTGCAACGATTTAGCAGAACCTATAATAAGAGTGGCCTTAGAAAGAAGTAAACATCAAATAGGCGATCATCCATTTTCCATATATAGGGATATTCTGTTTTTGGCATTTATTGTATTGGGCAGGACGAATATTGACCAAGGTGGGCTGTAATCTTAAAAAGATTATGCAAGATGTGTATTTTTTAAATAATTCAATTGTTGAAATATCAAGTTTGTTTGCAGTACATTAATTTCGCTAAAAATTCTCTGTATTCATCTGTAATAATGATCATGATATTTACAGGCGTCTTCGATAGAGAATACAGTTTGTCGCTAGAAAAATTCTCCGAAAACGAGGAGAAATTATTGCATAAAATTGACGCTCCACCAACAATGATGTCAGTATATTGCAGGCATTATTTTAAACAATTAAATGTTTGAGAAACGTAAGCGGCCGTGAATAATTCTGATGAAAACTTATTCCCTTCGAAGCATTGGAGAAAGAGGATGCGATATTGCGCGAATGATAAATGCTCGCAAGTACGAGCTCTATAGGCTTTATTTTCAAAACGGCGTACATGCGGGGAATAAATTACATTACACAAAGGATGATATTCAAAGCAATCGCATATTAAAATGTGTTTCATCGTGTATCGAAATGTCTGACATAATGCATCATTGATGTCTCTTCAACACGTTGAACGTTCATCTAACGCGAAAGATGTTAATGTTATCAATGACGATTTACGCTCGAGCTACAACGCCAGTTTTTTTAATGCGCCAATTACGATCGACATCGTCGAGTAACGTAGATTTGCAAACCAACTCGTCTTTTTTTTCTTCACGAGACTGTTTACTTACTGACATCTGATATTTCTCTTTACTTGCGCAAAAATATAAACGAGTCATTTCAAATTCGGACTTGTCGAATTTTCCTTTGGCCACACACGCACATGATAGAACTGATAGATGAACTGATAGCTATCGAATCGATTGCAACACTGTTTCGCGCTAATCGTGATTAACTAAATTTTTTTCTTACTCATATCGCGGCGAGAAGGGCTGTGATCTAGAAAGATGTGGAGAATTACTGATCGTAATTGGCCGCTAGTCGGAGTTATCGAAACGATCGATCTCGAGATCAGGTCAGTGCAATATCAAGTGTTGAATGATAATAACGATTTTTAACTAATCGTACATCTCTGGATCTTCATATGTTTATAACGTAATTGTTTTTAATGGTTATCGACCTTTTTTTTTTTTTAATAAATTCGATCGTGTATGTCTGATTTCTGATTCAGTAATTCGCGCAGCGCATCAACAGTATCTAAGAGTACAATGTTAAAAAGTATTAAGTACCAAAGAAGTTATACGGATTGTAAAGCGATTGCAACTTCAATTGCAACTTGTAAATTCCCTCCAGGTGTGCTGTGACCTTAAATACGTTTCAGTCCGTCGCGTAATGTAAAAAGAAAAAAAAGCTGTCAAATGTGGATATTAAAAACAAGGCAGCGTCTAATATACCTACTATTTTTTTTACCATAAAAAGAGCGAGAGAAGGAAAAAAGCGACGGTAATATATCGCGTAACATGACGGAACGCAGTATTCTTTCCTTGTACTCTTAGATAGAAAATTGTTTATTGCACGACGAACACACACAATATAAGTATCGTTTCTCTACTCGTCCTAGGTGAAAAGTGTTCTTCATAAAGGCATGATTAAACTTGATCGCTTATCCTCAAAGTAAATACTTAATGTGTGTGAGAGTGAATATTTTTATGAATTTTAGACATTTAAAGCATTTGTAATAGTTTAGCAAATTTAGTTAGATAATGTTCTATTCACAATTTATTCGAAACGAAACGATGAGATTATTCGTCGCGAGGAGACTCACGAACGCTACTTTTCATAATGTTGTGCACTTTTCATCCTGGACATTGCGGATGAATGTATGTTCATTCATTTCAATATTATGAATGTAGATTACAAGAATAAAATCAGTTGAGGTATTTTACAAAAATCGTTTGTTTTACTTTACAGATAGTCATTAATCTCTACTATATGTCTGAACAAAACTTAATTTAAATCTAATGTCATCGATGTATTGTTTCTACATTTTTTTAGAATTATTTTTGAGTTTGAAGCTCAAAGAAAAGATATGAAAAATTAAATATATAAGAAAAGATTTATCATGTTTAATATATATTTAATTTTCCACTAATCTTATTTTTAAGAAATTCGTTAATCTCTATATAAAAGATAATATTTCATGTATTAAGATAAGCTCTAAAAAATTGATATTTTATGAAATATTTTATATTTTGTTTAGATATAAAATATGAAATCATAAATTATTTACTTTTCACAGATTATATTTTAATAACTTTATATAGAGAATAGAAATGTTAATTTATGTAAACAAACCATTTAATTCTATCTAAAATGGAAAAACAGGAGAAAACTATATACTATTATTTTATATTTATATTTTGTATTGTTTTTAGAGAGATTTTGATTGTATTGGAAAAAGATATTGGAAAATATCAACATTATTAATTTTATGAAAAGTCAAATTTAGAATAGCTAATAAATGTATACTGCTATAATGATTATATTGCTGATTGAACATAAAATGAAAAAGAATGTCTTCTAAAAATGTGTTATTCGTTTCCAGCGCTAATTAGTTCATGAATACAAGCAACAATAATATCAATTAGAGGTATACAATGCTTAAATTGTTTAGAGGAAGCAAATTTTACAAAAGAAAGTGAGGGTTGAATTACTTTTATAAAATGCACCCGAGTATTGACGGATTTCTAAAAAAATTATTTATTCTATCTTGGCAGTAAATAAGAGATTAACATAAAATTAAAATGGATATATTGTATAGTGAAACATCATAAAAATTGCTGTGGAACAATTTTTAATGTGCCTTGTTGCATTATGCAATTCAGATCATTATAAATTTACTTACCTATTTATAATAAATCAGCATATTAATTTCATTGCGCATAGTATTTTATTTTAAAAAAATCTTTGCAACTCCTTTTCTCAATGCTTGCAATCGGTTTTCGAAAATTAGGTTAGGTTAGGTGCAGTCACGGCTAAATGTCGCGATTTTTTTTTTTTTTTTTTTTAAGTTTAATGAGCCTTCAACCAGTTTAGTCCTATTGTGATTATTTAGGCACTCATATCTTTTTCTTTTTTCTCTTTCCCTTCCTCTTATTCTTTTTTAGATTACTCTCCGTCTCGCGATGTTACTTCGGCATTGCTCGGGCTAGAGCTCGGGTCACGTGGCTGCGCAGTTGTCGCCGCGCAGCACGTGACCCGAGTGCGCCCGAGCAACGCCGAAGTTAACCGAGGCGACATTCTTGAACATAGCGGTTTCCCCGCCGCCGCCATTCGGGTCCGAGCGAGCGAAGGTGGTGTGTCGTGCGAGTTTTGCTCCGCTGTTCGGCGATTACGCGCGAGTGTGTATGAGCGCGTGCGCGCGCGCGCGCCCAGGAAAGGCGAATCGAGGGAAGGTACGACGGTTTTCGTCGCGCGCGTTGGCAGTGGTGCGTTGCGTGTGACGGTGTCGGATACGCCTCGAGGAACATGTTCGCCGAGCATTGAAACGCGCGTCTCGCATCGAGAACCACAACCGTCATCGACGGCTCTATCATCGGGTGTGCGTGTGTGTTGGTTCCTTCCGGATTGATACGGATTTTTCCGGTCTCTCTCTTCCACTTTGTGCATTGTATATTCGATTGAAGAGCGAAAAAATATTGCAACATGTATTCCGATGGCCACGAAGTGGACGGTAGCTGGGTGCTGCGCGTCTACGTGACGGATCTGCAGGTCGAAAGGAGTTTACGCGTAAAGGGAGAGCTGCATATCGGCGGTGTCATGCTACGTCTCGTGGAAGATCTCGGTAAGTGTAATGCCTCGTGTATCTTTTCTCTCTCTCTTTATCTTTCTTTTTCTTTTCCTCCCATTCTTTTCTCGTCTCGGATTCTCGATATCACACGCCGCGTTGTCACTGTGCGATGTAAAATACGGTTCGCGTTTACGCGCCGAATAGATCTCCATATCTGATTTAAATAATATTTGAAATGATCGGAACCGCGAAATGACGTCACGGATTTTAAAATAGCCGGCAAAATGGCGCGCATGCATTGTATGTAACTGTATGCATCTCGTTAAATTCACCAAATAAAGCGATATTGTTGCGCATAATATATTTTGTCAAATAAGTTTATCAAGTGTCGAGCAGTAATTGGCAGTAATTTCAAAATTTATTTTTTTCAAAATGATATTTTATTACATGATAGGGAGAAATAAATAATGGATTGTAAAATCAGTTTGAGATATTGTGACAAATCGAAATGGAATATGTATATAGTCATTGTAAAAATGCAACTCGAGTCAATCTCTTACATTCTCAATTTTCACATAATAAATTTTCCTTTTATTTAACCGAATATATTTAAATAATTACTAAAATGTGAACAGTAAATTATATATATATACATATATATATATATATGTATTCATATGTGTATATATATATATATATATATATATATATATATATATACACATATGAATACATTTCTCCTCTTTAATATGTTTTTTATCTTAATTTATTATAAAAGCAGATACAAAGAAAAATGATAGAAAGTATATTTTTAACTATAAGTTAAAAAAAAAAACTCGAAAGAATTATAAATAACGTATGTATACATGTATGTTAATTCACACGTAAACATTCATATATAAATTTTTTTCAATTTTATTTTTTAACAGTTGATTAGGCAAGTCGATGCGGGACGGTTTCATACTTGTTGAATTAGCCAATTTCGATCGATTGAGAAAGAGAAAAATAGAAAAAGAAGTCTAAATACATTTATATATAGGGGTTTATTATCCACGATGACGTAATCGGAGAAATGGGAGTCTTATGTAAAAAATCTCGAAAACACGGACTAAAATTCTATTCGTACAAGACTTGTGTATGCATAGACAATTTTATTCTATGTTTTTATTTCTATTTTTTTTTTATAGAATTATTCTTTTTTCAACTATAGCACCGCGCAAACATATATTACACATATATAAATTTAAGAGACAGAGTCCAATGGAAGAAGACAAAGACATACACAATTTTTTGATTTCGTTTTTCGTCATTTGTTTACTTTTGTGAATTATATTTTTTCGCGTAGTTGCGTATAAAATTTTCGAATAAATACAGCGAAGAAACGCTTCCGGTGAAGAAAAGGATTCAAGCACGTTTATTCGACGCGTGTGCGATAAGAAATAACTCATATCTCGAGCGTGACCCGTTTGCGATAATGATAATTTTACACGAATGCGATATAGTCGCTCTCGTAAATTACGTCGGTATCCATCAGGTATGTAATATTTTGATAGAGCAAGAGCGTATTAAATCACACGTATTGATATGTGTAAACAATCAAGATATTACACTATAAATCCTTTATAATTTGATTAAATCATGTATATTGATGTAACAAAATATTTAAAAAAATTAAAAGTTTTTTTGAAAGATATTATTTTTAAAAGATATATATATTATTAGCACGCTTATTTATTTATTTTACGATAATAATTTTATTTTTAACTATTTTATATTTATAATTTAAATTTTCCGCGTGAGTAAAGATATGCTTTTTATTTTTAAAAAGGAACGATTAAGTTTTTAGTCTTTTTTTTCGCACAAGTCGATCGTCTTTTAAATATTGAAGGTACAAATTTTTTAGATAATTATTCTTATTTTTTATACAGTTAAAGTAGAATATTTATCGTAATACCCAGCTCTTTCTCCCGCCCTTTGTACGACGCAGAGATGATTGTGGCTCATGAATATGTTATAACGTGAAGTATCGAGTGCGGGTGCATTATTCAATTCTATTTTTACGAAACCTTTGCGACGCGAGGGATAAAATTACGAGTCAATGTTATCGAAGAAAAATAAATAAATATAAAGCAATAACTATCGTTAACAACACAAACACACTTTGTATATAAACATATATATTGATTTTGAGACCATCGGGGATAATCGATTTTTTTCGAGGAGAGAAGGATGTCGAACATGTCACAGCGCGAAGCCAGGTAGAAAAATCTGGCAGCCATATCTTTTGTTGACTGGTCCTCTTTTTTACTCGGCGGCCCCAACAGGTTAGCGTGGTCGTGCAGGTTCTCGCTGCATCACCGCTCGACCACTCTGAACCGGACCGTCGACCGGCCCCGAGTCTTATGTAAATACACCGGGTGTCCCGCAGCGCACGTAGTCGCGATCCGATGCATTACAATGAGTCACACAGATTTGAATATTGGCTGAATATATATATATATATATATATATATATATATATATATTCAGCCAATATTGATTTATAATTCTCGAATGTACATTTAAAAAATAAAGACACACAGTATATATATATATATATATATATATATATATATATATATATAAAATATATATTTTAAAAGCAAAAGACACGCAATATATATATATATACAATTTTTTTAGAATACATACATATAAGACAGTAACACAGCCTATGTTAAATTAGAGAGAAAATTACAAGTTAGAAAAAAATTATATTTTTAACAATTTAAAAAAAAATGAATGAACAATATAAGATATATCTTATTTTACGTGCAAATTTTATTTTGAAAATTTATTTAATTCTCATTTAAAATTATTTTAAACATATACATATATTTATTTTTCGAATTGTTTCGTGCTTCTTCTGGATAAATGCACTTTGATACTTTTAACGTACTTTTGCTGCTCAGTTAAAATAGATAAGAAAACCGATATAAGTTTGAGACTAATTGTAAAAGGACAAAAAACGGAAAAAATATAGAATGTGCAAGTATACGCATTAGCTCTTTTATATATTTATATCCAAACACGAGAAAAAGAAAACCTCATGTAGCTTCTGTAATTAAGTATTCTTAATAATAAATATTAAATAATAAATAATAAAGTCTTAAATAATTTAAAAGTTTCAAAATATTTCGTTAAATCAAATTGACAATGATAAAATATAATCTATTTTTGTGATAACGTAACAACAATATATATTGTATGCATTTTTTTAAGAGTTTGCTTGAATTGATAAATTAAACATAATAAAATTTAAATAATATGATAACGATTAAATCATGTTAGGTCTCGCGATTATCGCAAAAATGCTTCTATGATTTGAACATAATCTCAAGTTTCATTTTTTTTAACCATTTCTTTCTTATTCTGATTTGTTTGCCCCATAAATTTCGCATTATAATCTGTAAACACGTTGCGCAAGCGATTTTGAAGTAGCGTGATATTTCGCTTACGCAACTTGCACATCCAATATATTACGTAATAAATTTCCATGTTTTGTACAATTTTATCTCGTCTCTAGATATTATATATATATATATATATATATATATATATATATATATATATCGGAATAAACTTATTTGGTCAGCGAGTGACCTTTCAGGGATCCTCCATGGCAATCGGCATTGTATCCATCGAGTGAGATACCAACAACGTTCTGGAGTCGCATATCACTGTATTAAGAAGCAACATTAGATGTGAGGCCCGAATAGCTCAGTGGTCTAGAGAGTTGCTCGGAAAGCGACTCGGGTTCGAATCCCGATCCAGCCACTTGCGCCTCACATATTTTTCTTGTCCACGAATATTGTTTTCTAATAATTACTCGTTGAGCTGAAGAGTGTGCGAATGCTCTCTTCACAGGATATACCGTTGCCACGGATGAATTCTGTCGCTCGTTAACGAAATGGACGTAAAGACACGTCCGACTTCCTCCCACATACATCCCTATCTTTCTCTGGACTCAATGTAAACCCCTTAGCCTTAGCAAAAAATTATTTAAATAAAAGAAAAAAGAAAAATACCTTTTATTTGTCTTGTCATTTAAGGGTAATATTTGTCTCAAGCTTCGACGAAGAACTTGTTTATTTAATTGACAATTAAATAGACAAGTTCTTGACAATTAAATAGACAATTAAATAGACAAGTTCTCCAGCCTAGTCCGAGACAACTTACCCTTCATGACAAGACAAATAAAAGGTATTTTTCTTTTTTCTTTTATTTAAATAATTTTTTGCTAACTCTTGGCCATTTGTTTAAATGTTTATAATTTTTGAACCGTCCAATTATAAACGAAACGAAAAGCACTACAAACAACTACAAACGATTCTAAAGAAAACTGCGCAAGCAGATTTGAAATATTTAAATGTCGGGTGCGAGTCATTTTTTCAAATTTTTATATTTTTTAAGGGATAAAACTACAAACGAAATTATTGTTACTACAAGCAACTACAATCGAAATGCTATTGTTTTTTGTATTAAAAAATTAATTTTTTAAAAGTCGGGTGTCAGGTTCACATAGGTGGATGTATGTGGGAGGAGGTCGGACGTGTCTTTACGCCCATTATATGTATGTGTCATAATATGGACGTGTCTTTACGCCCATTATATTATATACCATATATATATATATATATATATATATATATATATATATATTGCCATTTAATTTTTATTCTTACAACTACACGTGTACTTTTTTCTCCACGTGAAATGAGTTTGTATATACGATACAAAAGACAAAACTCCAAGTCGAATAATGATATTTCGCGAGCATTCTTATTCAGTATTTGGTTCTCATCGAAATATTTGATGATTAAATGCCGTTCGAATAATTGACGTTCGTTGGTGACACACGTGGCTTTGCGAAGTCACGAAAGAAGAAAAAGTCAGTAACACTCGAGCCGATGTACCGTATGTCAGAGCTCGACGACAAGAGACTGCATTCTTCTTACAACTCTTACCCTTCCGCGAAGCCATAGAAGACCTGCCTTCGCGGAGCTCTCCTTTTC